TATCCTACCCTTTACCCTAGCCTTACATTACAAGCTTTAAAGACCTTCTGACCTTGTGCATAGAAGTTATGTAAATGTGAAAGTGTTGTTTATCAATTCAAGTTATGACTTGACATATTTTGATTCGACTAGTAGGTTGAGCGTTCATTGTTCTTATACACACAAGAGTGTGAGTTGGGAGGGCATTGTTCACATTAAAGGTGTTGGTTGGAGAGTGATCAAGTACATCTTTTACTCGCCACATAAATGAGAGTTGAGTGTGTGAGCACTAGTCTTGAATTCTATATGCTCTTGTGGTTTGCTCTATTTGACAATTGTTGGGGAGGAAGGGTGATTAGATGAATAAGATTGATTGATGTTGAAGCATGTTCATTAGATTTGCCTTGACTTGTTTATGCTTGATTTGATTATTTGGGTGAAGCATGTTTTATATGTTCATTGATAAGCTCTTTGCTTAGGGACAAGCAAAGGTTTGGCTTGGGGGAGTTTGATATGTCCATTTTATATAGTAATTTACCCCCGTCCCTTGGTCATAATTAGTAGTGTTTTTGGCTCTTTCAAGCCAATTTTATTACTAATTTGTGTTTTCGTAGTCTTTGTTGAGTTTTGTAGGAAATTGCGCCTTTGGAGCATTTTCTCGGGTTTTTTCATGGAGCGACTACGGGAATTAGAAGAGCACGTCCATCTTTGAAGCCCAAGGACGGTTAGAGTCATCGAGCCGGTAATTAAGGGCTCGGTAATCGGGATTCTGAGGTATTTGGACCGAGTATTCAAGACCCGAAGAGGAAATTCGGATTGGGCCGAGAAATCAAGCCCAATCGAAGTCCGAGCCTCAAAGTGAAGCAAGGGCCCGATCGGGCAAGGATTAGCACGATCGGGCGCGGCATGCTTGGTGCTGGTGCGTGGCCTATAGCGCGCCCGGTCGTGAGAGCGTCTAGCACGATTGGGCGACGCTTCTGAGAGGGAGCGCAAGGAAAAAGGCGGGCCCGATCGGGCGGCCCTTTGCCCGATCGGGCGCGTGTTTTCTCAAGACCTGATTAGTTAGTTTTAATTTTTGTTTTAGGAAACGTTTAAGTACGAGATTTGTACGTAATTTTTGAGGACCTTCTTTCTTAGACTTTCTCTCTCTACTTAGAATATTTTCTCTCTCTTAAATTCTCTCTCAACTTTTGTTCTTAATTACTTCCATTAATCCAGTTTTCTTTTGGTAACAATTTTTTCTCTTTTAATTTCAGCTATTTTACTTACTTATTTGATTATGCTTTGTTTTATTTATTTGATTAGTTTAGCTATGATTATGTGTGAGTAGTTTTATTCTAGGGTTTATGGGGATCCATAATTAATATGAAGGGATAATTTGTTATTAATGATTATTGGTATTGCATGATAATTTCTTATTGAATTGTTTTAATTCTTTGCAATTAGATTATGAATCGAGCAGATGTAATTTGATTGAGAATGTTTAGCAATATTGAATTGATGAATCGAGCAGATGTTAATTTAATATTAAAGGCTATTTTCAATAGGAACTTAGATCTATGCGAGAGCCTGTTAGATCTATGTTGATTAATAAATTGCGAGAGCCTGTTAATCATGTTATTCATGCAATGTTAGTTATCAATTACTTCGTTTTATCCCGGAATATTAATTATTGGTGAACCTGTGACCCTAGGCTTCCTTATTATTGTTCCTTTTCTCCTTAAACTTATTCTTCATAGTATAGAATTTATTCCCAAAAATATTGGTTACTTAGATAATTTAGATTATAATAAATAATTAGGAGTAAAAAGACTTGTTTCCCTGTGGATTTCGACCCTACTTCCCTATCTACATTAGTTAGAGGATTTAGGTATTACTTTTTCTTAGGGGATACGACTTTACCCTGTCACGCTACCTGGTGCAAATGCTTTCCGGCCACTTTGAAAGGTGTGGCACAGGATTGGTTTAATAGCCTCCCGGCCGGATGTATCAATTATTTTACTACTCTTAGTTTGTTGTTTGTGGGAAATTTTTCATACAACATACCGCCTCGAAAGACTAGCCTTAATTTGGCAACAATCGTTCAAGGGAAGAATGAGGGCCTACGGTCGTACGTCCAGCGATTTAACCAAGAAAAAGCCCAAATTCATAATCTGCCGGATGAAATGGCTTACTCTGAATTTATCCGGGGATTAAGGCATAATGGTTTTAAATTTGACCTGGTAAGGAAAAAGATTCGGACATACGCAAGTGTTTTTGCAAGAAGCCGAAGCCTATATTGAAGCGGCGGACTTTTGTTTGCTCACAAAATCAGAAGCCCCGGCCTAGGGGGCTGAGAAGAAACATTCTCAGCAAGACTCGGTCGGCCAAAATAAAGAAGGGAAAAAGAGAAAAGAAGTCTGGTTGGTCGATGGCCAGCCACAGAAGTCCAAGAAGGTCAAGACGTACGAACCCCAGTATGAGTTCAACAAGGACTATTATTCTATCTTGATGGAAATCAAGGATAAGTTTGAGTTTAAAAACCACAGCCACTGAGAGGCCCGACTCAATACAGGAACAAGAACAAATACTATCATTACCACAAGGACGTCAGACATGACACGAACGATTGTATCAATTTGAAGAGACTGCTGGACAAGCTAGCCAAGAAGGGCATGCTGAACTCTTATGTGATGAAGTCAAAATTCACTTACACACGGACAGAAAACACGTCCGAGAAAAGACAGAAAAATGATAAGAACAAAGACAAGGAAGATGATGAGAATAGCACTTACTCAGGCTTTGTGGCCGTGATATCAGGAGGATTCGCCTCAGGCGGTCCAACCATGAAAGGGATCAAGCAGGATGCCTGGAACTTGGGAAAGGTGATGCAAGCGGTTGTAGTAAAGGCTGAGCCTTTCCTGAAGTAATCATTAGTGAGGCCGACCGGGGGGAGGTCAAAGCCCTGCACAATGATCACATGGTATTCATTATGAAGATAACCAATTTATAGGTCGGACGAATATTGATTGACACGGGTAGTTCAGCTAACATCATCAGCCTGGCCGCCTTGAAGAATCTAAGCTTCCCATAGGATTCTCTTTAGGACATCACTCACCCGTTGGTAGGATTTAGGGGGAATGTTATCCACCCGGTTGGACGGATAGACCTACCCGTCCGCTTTAGGCAAAAAGGGGAAGGAAGAGATATGGTTGTCCGCTTCCTGGTCGTGAAAGAGCTGACTGGATATAATGGCTAAGGAATGTAATCAGTTGGCCGTTAAGCCTACAGCACGCGGACCAAAAGCGTCCGAGCCAAAAGAAGAAGGAACCTCACTCCCAGCATACCAGGTTGGCCAGAAGCGTAAGGCGGCTAAGATAGATCAAGCATAGCAGCTAATGACTGTCGGTCGACCAGAAGAGTTACGTCCCCAGCCGGCCGGTAGTCACCAAGAGATAGTGCTTGACCCCAATCAACCAGATCGGATGGTTAGTGTGGGCACTATAGCTTTGGGTATGCTTGGGGATGAGTTGATTTAACTGCTAAGAGAGTTCAAGGATGTATTTGCATTTGACTTTGGTGAGATGCCAGGAATAAGCCCTGACCTGGCCGTGTATAAGCTGGCTGTAAACCAGCCGTTAAGCCTGTCCGCCAAAAGAAAAGAAATGATGGAGAAGAAAGGAATCAGGCGGCCGCAGCTGAAGTAAAAAAGATGCTGGATGCCGGTTTCATTCGGCAATGTTATTACCCAGACTGGGTAGCCAATGTAGTTCTCGTGAAGAAGCCAAATGGAACTTTGAGAATGTGTGTGGATTACACTGATCTGAACAAGGCATGACCTAAGGATAGCTTTCCCTTGCCCAAAATCGACCGCCTGTTTGATTCAACGGCCGGGCATGTCCTGATGAGTTTTATGGATGCATACTCCGGATTCCATCAAATTCCATTATGGGAAGAAGATCAAGAGAAAACAGCGTTTGTAACTGAGCAGGGGTTGTACTGTTACAAAGTTATGCCATTCGACCTCAATAATGCCCCAACTACCTTTCAACGACTTGTTAATACAGTCTTCAGAGATCAGCTCGGCCGGAATATGGAGGCGTACATTGATGACATGATTGTCAAGTCAAAAGAGTCGGCCGACCACCTAAAGGATCTGCGATAAACTTTTACCGAACTCAGGCGGCATAAGATGATGTTAAATCCAAAGAAATATGTTTTTGGTGTTGAGTCCGGTAAATTTCTCGGATTTTTGATTGACCAACGTGGAATTGAGGCCAACCCTGAAAAGATTCAAGTCGTCCTGGACATGAAGTCACCAAGGATGATTAAGGAAGTACAAAGACTGACCGGATGTTTAGCAGCACTTGGTAGATTTCTACAAGATCAGGAGATAAGTGCCGTTATTTCTTTCAAACCATCAAGAAGAAAGCCATGTTTGAGTGGACTAAAGAAGCCGAGGAAGCATTCGTACAGCTAAAAAGCCACCTTCATACATTACCTCGGCTCGTCAGTCCACTCAAGAATGAGAAGCTATTTATCTATCTCGCCATCTCTGAACACTCTTTAAGTGTCGTCCTGCTTGCTGAACGGGACGACCACCATATCCCAGTCTATTTTATTAGCCATGTACTTCACAACGCCGAGCTGAGGTACCCCCCTATTGAAAAATTTGGCTTGGCATTGTACATGGTATCAAAAATGTTGTGGCCGTACTTCTTGGCACATTCAATTGTGGTCTACACAGACCAACCTCTGAAGAAGCCATTCACAACTTTAGAGGCAAGTGGTCGAATGCTCAAGTGGGCCTTGGAAATGAGAGGCTTTGACACTATGTTTGAGCCAAGAAAATCAATCAAGGGACAAGCCTTTGCTGATTTTTTAGCTGAGATGACTCGGCCTGATCTTCAGCCGGTCGGAGACCAGGTCTGGAAAGTGTTCGTGGACAGCAGTGCAACATCTACCGGGTGTGGCGCAGGTATCATATGTTTGTCTCCCGAGGGAGATAAGTTTGAGTATGCTTTGAGATTTCAGTTCCAAGCCTCTAATAATCACTAGTAGAAAAAAGTAAAAAAGCACCGCTCAATGGCCACCGGTTTTCAAAAACCGGTGGGGAAAAAGGGCGGGATTGGGGTGATATAATATTTCCACCGGTTCAAACCAAACCGGTGGGGAAAATATTATTACAACCGGTTCAAAACCGGTGGTTTTGTTATTAAAAAAAAAATCCGCCCCCCCTTATAAACTCCAAACCCTATCTCTTCATTCATTCTCAGCCACTCCTCTTTCTTTCTCCTGCTCTCCCCTCTCCTCCCTCGATATGTTCGTCTTCTCTAGCAGTTTAGCTGATTTCCTCTATCTTTCTCTCTCATCTCTCCCCTCTCCTCCTTCTCTTTCTCATCTCTTTCTCATCTCCTTCTCTCGATCTGTTCATCTTCTCTATTTTCCTTATCTTTGATCTCATTCTCGTCTCCTTCTCTTTCATTTCCACCACCACCAAAACAATAAACCACGAAGACATGCACGAGGTTAGGTTTAATTTTGTGTTTAATTAATCGATTTTATGCGATTTTTGGATTTTGTTGGGTTTAATTAATTATTTTTCCTAGGTTAATTAGTCGATTTTGGATTTTTTTGAGTGTTTTCATCGATTTTAATTCGATTTTTAATTGATTTTAATCGATTCTAAGTCAATCTCCTTCTGGGTTCTATTCGATTTAATTCTGGGTTTTTTTCCTTTTTTTTTTTGGGTTAGTGAAAATCAATTTGTTTTTTTGAGTTCGATTTAATTCTCATTTTTTTTAATTCTCGTTTTGAAAATCAATTCGATTTTTTTTAGTTCGATTTAATTCTCGGGTTTTTACTAATTTCTGGGAATTTTGTTTGATTTTTTTTTCCTGGGTTTTTTTTTTCTGGGTTTTTTTTCTGGGTTTTAGTTTTCTAGGTTATTTTTCTGGGTTTTTGTTTAATTTCTGGGTTTCGTTTATATTTTTGTGTGTTTTTTCTAGGTTTATTTAACCGGTTTAAATCGATTTATGGGTACCATGCATACTGTTCTGGTTTTTTTTTATCGCAGCTTATTTATTTTATTTAATCTATTTTTTTTGTTTGATGCAGGTATATTGATTTAGATGTAGATGTTAAATCGAAGAATAAAGATGCATGATTATTGATTTAGGTGTTATATGGGTTGTTTTTTAATTTTAATGTTGTAATTTTTTTGGGTTTTTTATTGTAATTTTTTTTTATTTTAATGTTGGAATTTTAGTTTTGTGTAATTTGATTAATTTAGATCTTTTAAATTGGAATTGTTGTATGAGTAATTTAGTTGTAGTTATTAATTTAGTTTTTTTCACTCTTAAAAAGTGTACAATTACTAGATACTGATGAATATATATGTGTTTTTATGTATTTTACATATATATATAGTTTCTGCTACAATTTAAGTGAAATAAATTCCAAAAAAAAAAAAAATTGTTTTTATGGGCATTATTGTCACCGGTTAACCGGTGACAATCTTTGTTAATACCATTAAAAAAAATTTGCGGGAAGCATTATTGCCACCAGTTAACCAGTGGCAATATTTGTTTTTGCCACCGGTTTTGAACCGGTGGCGTTTTAATAAGATTATTGCCACCCCCAAATGACCATTGGTTCAAAACCGGTGGCATAGAGGGGTTTTGAACCGGTGACCAATTCATATTTTCGCTTAGTGAATGAGGCCGAGTATGAAGCTCTCCTGGACGGCGTTAGGATGTGTAAGGCGGCAGGAGCAACAAAAGTGGATGTAAGCTCGGACACCCTACTCGTAGTCGGCCAGGTGAACAGAGACTTTGAGGCAAGGTAGCCGGCTATGATGAAATACTTGAAGATTGTCAAGGAGGAGGTCAAGGGCTTAGATCATTTTACTCTGCAGCAAGTTCCTCGTTTGTCTAATCATCAGGCGGACGCCTTCTCTAAATTAGCATCCTCAGCATCATGTGATACCCCAGATCAGTATTTTGGGAGGTAAAGGAAAAAAGGAGTATTGATGCCGAGCCGGTACATATCATTGATAGAAGCTCCACTTGGATGGACGGGATCATTTCTTATCTAAAGGATGGATTACTTCCGGCCGATCCTAAAGAGAGCTGGCTGATGAAGAAGAGAGCGGCTTGGTTCGAAATAAAGCAGGGGGAGTTGTTTAAAAAAGCATTTGTGAAGCCGTACCTGAAGTGTATTACTCCTGAGAAAGGACATGATGTCCTAGACGACCTTCACCAGGGGCAATGTGGCTCGCACATTGGAGGACGAGCCTTGGCTGAAAAGGCTGCTCATCTGGGCTACTACTGGTCGAGCATAAAGTCAGACGCCATGAAAATGGTGAAAAAAGGTGACAAGTGCCAGAGATTTGCAACCTTGATCCACCGCCCTGCTAACAGTCTGTCGGCCATAAGTAGTCCGCTCCCCTTTGCCAAATGGGGGATGGATATCTTAGGGCCGTACACACCAGCATCTGGTCAAAGGCGTTATGTGTTTGTAGCAGTAGACTACTTCACAAAGTGGGTGGAGGCCGAGGCTGTACGGGGCATCAAGTGGACGGATGTTTCAGCCTTCATATGGAAGAGTATCATTACACGTTTTGGCGTTCCTCAGTCTATGGTGTTCGACAATGGGCCCCAGTTAGAAACGCCTCAACTTAAGGAGTGGTTGGAAGACCAGGGCATAGCTCATTGCTTTGCTTCAGTTGGCCGACCACAAGCCAACGGCCAGGTAGAGGCATACAACAAGTTGATCTCCAATGGTATCAAGCGCAAGCTAGAAAAGGCAGGGGGCCTATGGGCTGATGATTGGTCAATGTATTGAGGTCTATCCAAACAACAGCCAAGAGCTCCACAGGGGAAACCCCATTCTTTTTGGTATACGACGCTGAGGCTGTTCTCCCAATTGAGATGTATGAGTCCACTCTTAGGGTGAAGGTATATGATGAAACGAACAATTGGGAAGCCATGAAGACTGCCCTAGACTTCCTTCCAGAAGCTAGGGGCAATGCGGCGCTTCGGCATGAAATTTATCGCCTAAGGATGATAAGGGCATACAATTGCCGAGTGTCAAAGCGTCCGCTAAAAATGGGAGATCTGGTCCTAAGGAAAATGGAGGTTGTGGGTCGGGCAAATGAAGATAGGAAGCTGACTCCCAAACTGGGAAGGGCCGTATCGAATCAGTGAAGAAGTCCGAGATGGTACATACCGTCTCGAAGCCATGAACGGCCGTCAGATTCCGCGTACATGGAATACTGACAACTTGAAGAAATATTATGTTTGAGTTTTTTTTAGTACTTAGCCAAAAGTTGTATGTAATGCTAGGTCTGTTGACCGAGCAATGTAAGCCGTACGACCATAACAATGTAATTTTGAAAAATTAATGAAAATTAAAACATTGTCATATTATTTTCCATTCTACTTATGCTTATTTACACTTTCATAGTCTACGCAGAAACGCCGCGTGAAACTTGTAACTAGGTTGCTTGCAACACAGCAACCCGATCGTAAAAAATATATATAAAAATGAGTGACCTGACCTTAAGTCACATGTATACGTCCGTTCCTCACTTAGACGGACGGATAAGGTAAGGTATCCTATGAAACCCCCCTAATGGGGCAAGGGCATACCTAGGCATTCTAGCCCAGCCAAACTTAGAAATTTTAAGTTAAGATAATACTTGAAATTTTTTTGAGCATTTCCGAGCGATAGTTTCAACGGACAGCTCGCATAAAGCCAATCAAACGGCCAAATAATATGTTGATTCGGCGTATCACCTAGTCTAAGGGCAATCATTACTATGATTTTATTAACTTACTAGTAATCATACCCCCCAAGGTATAAACTCTACCAAGTCAATCAAACTATTCAAAATATGGACTAGGCGAGCGCCGAATAAAGGGGCATACCCCCCCATTGTACGAAAATACAAAAACGTGCAAAAAAGTACGCGTATGAGAATGTGAAAACATGCTAAAAGTATGTAAAATTTTCCAAGTATGAAATAAATAGAAAGGAGAACTTGAATTAATAAAAGACCGCTCAAAGGGCGGCAAAATATCTTACAGGAAACCTCTGAAAAAGGCCGAAAATAAAGAAATTAAAAATTGAACATAAAAAAGGGGGAAGAACTAAGAGCTGATATCAAGGGGCGGCTGGGGCAGAAACTGGATCCTGGCCTTGGACGGGCTCTTGAGAAGCGGCAAGGGACGCGTCCTCAGCTGGCGCCTCCTTCCTCTCCACTTCACCGACATTTCCGACCGCCACTTCTTCATTTTCCTCATCCTCTGAGGTTGTTGGTGTGACGTCCAGCTCAGGAAAAGGTTGTCCAGCCTTCTTAGCCTCTTCCCTGAGGCAGACAAAGTTGAGGCGTTTAGTGAAGCGCTCTTGATAAAAGGCCGCCTCGCCCTCGTCCACCATGAGCTCGAACGCCTCGAAGAAGTGGCTCTTCAGCCTATCCTTAGCATTCTGTTCAATGCGGACGACCTCGTCTGCGCTAGGGGCCCGAGGTGTCTGGAGCCGTAAAGTTAAGTCCTCAACGGACTTCTTCAAAGTTTCCACCTCGGCCTTAAGGGCGTCCGCCTCGTCCAGGGCCTCCCTCAAATGTTTTTTAGGCTAAGGCCACCTCACTTTTGAGCTTTTCTGAGGCCTCAAACCCTTCTTTCCAGCGCTAGCCGTCCAGGAGGGGTTGATCCCTCTCCTGCCTCATGGTGTCCCTGGCCAAGGTCTCTTGTTCGAGGGCCTTACCCAGCTTCACCAGATCTTCCGCTTGCCGCGTTCCCTTGTCGGACATCGCGTTGATCTGGGTCTCAAAATATCGGCGCTGGACGGTCGTTTCCCCCAGTAACAGCATCTTGGGCCTTCTGGACCTTAAGCCAGGCACGCTTCAGCTTTTCGTTTTCTTTGTCCTTCCATTCAAGGAAGGCGGTCAGCCGCAAGAAAAGCTGCGCACAAGAGAAAATGGTTTAGTGGATCAGAGAACGAAAAAATTGGCTAAGTATGAGGGTTGAAAAGTTACCTCAGCGCTCCAGTTGATCATTGGGTCGAGGAAGCCCTCATGAATTTCCCTCAGCTTATCTCGCTGCTTAGCAGGGACGGCCCGGGCCATGGCTTCTCGCATGGCCTTCCTGTCCACCCCAGTAAGGGAATGGCCAGGCAGCTTCATTGTCAGCTCCTCCGTAATATCTACACGCGGACGCAAAGAGTTTAGCTTAAGCTTAATCGAGCCTTATAAAAAAAATGCAAAGTAACTCAAACTGACCGTCGGAGAAGCTCGGGGCGTTGAGGGGATTGAAGGTGAATGACGGAGGCGACGCAGGCTTGTCACCCTCCTCACCCGTCCGGCCAGGCTGGTCGCCGGCCGACTGAAAGGCTTCAAGCCAATCTGATTCTTGGACTCTTTGTACGGGCGGAGTCACTTCTGGCCCGGTCGGTTTTGCCGGGGTTGACTTACCCCTACTGTCCAATTTCTCGGACTTATCATGAACCGGCGTGGCGGCCGGATCCATGGACTTGGAGGCCCCGCTATCACCCAGCCGGGTTGTTCTCCTTTGGACTGCTTGGAGGCAGTCCACGATATAGTCTTCGCCGCAGTGGTGGAATTGGCCTTAGTAGCGATCGTCTTCCTTTGCTTGGACGCCCTCCCGTCCTTGTCCGGCTTAGAGGCAAGGGACGACTGCTTCCGCTTGGACTTAGGAGTCGGAGTCTACAGCTAAAGAAAGGCAAAGATTAGCGAAAAATGAGCAGGACACTACATTAGTGTCCGTGTCTAGCTAGGAAGGAGACCCCTCCCATCATGCCAACTCAGACACAATGATACGACCGTGAGAGCCCAGAAAAAAGGACCTTCCCAGCATCCCAACACGGACGAAAAGAAGAGAGGGAGGTAGAAAAGATGTTCTTACCCTCTTAGATTGCTCGTACAGCTTTGACGAGCCTTGTAGAGAGCCAAGTCGATTTCAGACATGCTCACCTCCCCCTTCTGTTCTGAGTCCAGCATCTTGTAACCAGTTGTTCGGCATCAGCTGGAAGATAGCAATGTCATATTCGTCCAAAATGGTGCGGACGAAGGGGTGGAGAGGGAAGCGCAGTCCGATGTATAGGGCCACCCAGTAAACTCTAAAGGACCTTTGGCGCGGCCTCTCTCCCTCCCAAGCAGCCACAGCATGTGACTTTCTTGGGGGCTGAATCTCAAATCCCTCCCCAAGGTGGAGGAATGCCTTGTATTCCTCAAACTTGTCATTTAGGTAGCCCAAGGTCGTGCTACCCACCGTACAGGCGTACGGATCCTTAAAGTTATCAACGTTGGCGACGTCTTCCTCGGCCGCCACCTCACCCTCGGCCGCTTTCTTGATCTCTTCCTCCTCTTGTTGAGGAGCACTCCCAAACTC